CCTAAAGGGCCTCCAGGACGAGGAGGGGAGACATTACTGATGCAGATGGTCACAGGGCTGCAGTTTAAGAAGTCTGAGGGAGGTCTGAGGGAGAAGATACTAATGTCCTGCAGGTGGGTGTCAAGGGGGGCTTCACAGAGGAGGTGACCTTAAAGACTAGCTGCAGTCTATTAGTAGAAGAGGAAAAGGACATAAATAGGCTGAGGTCGGGATCTGGCAGTATTGTGCAGCTTAAGGCAACAGGATATCCTAATGGGTGCAACACAGGGTGTAAGAAATGGAGAATTGTTAAGAATGACAGCAATGTTCTCAACTTGAGCAATTACAAGACAGGAGCTACTATTGACCAATACACGAAAGGTGGTGGGGCCAGGCTGGAAGGAGGGCAGCAGGAGCCATGATACTATGGTCTGTGAAGTGGAAAAATGAGCGGTCCTGATCCTGTGGCTGTTTTAAAGGTTACCAATGTAGGTGGATGCTATATTGCCAGCCCAGGAGTTTCGGAATCATGGGACACATCCCTGCTGGTGATGTGATGGCCTTAAGTGAAGGCTCCTGGTTTTCAGAGTGAATTCCTGAGGGCCCCAGAGGGCAAGGTACCTGAGAATAGTCAACAATCACTGTCTTCCCCGTCACTCAACTCAAGGAGCCCTGCTCTGCTAATTGCTAGCAGTAAGCACTGGGAAAGCTGCTTCACAATTCTTCTGCTTCTGTTTTCCATCTTGAAAATAAGGAGGAGGAGGAGGACAGCACCACCTACTTTGGGTATCATTGTGATAAAATGAGGTAACCCAGATGAGGGAGCTCCTTGGGAAACTTAAACGGGCTAATCCATAGAAAGCAATCACAACAAGCAGGCATATAGTAAATGCTCAGTACTCACTAGGCACTGCAATAATTCTGTTTGGAACATGGGGTTTCTCAGTAAAAAGAATATAAGGTGTCAGTCTACACTCCTCATTATCCTAGACTGGAAGCCATGAGGACAGGGCCTGGATGTCACTGACACCAAGGTTTCTAGCCTGGGGCAACACAAGGGCTGGCTCAGCACGTGAAGTGAGTTTGTGCAGGATTCCAAGGTGTCTAATGAAGATGCTAGAGGACTCAGACTCATCCGTCTCTCTCACACCCCAAGCAAGGAGCAGCCTTAAAGGGGTGTTGAGAAAGGTCCCTGCAGATGTTGGAGCAGAAGTGGTGATATGAAGAATAGGGGAGGGTCTCAGACTTCAAAGATCCCTTGTAAGCCTGAGATCAAGGGACTGTGTCCAGGCTACATGTCTGTCCCCAAGCACTGGACCAGGAGGGACAGACATGGCTTGTTCCCAGGCTTACACAGACCCTGATTTATTCTCCCCAGCTCCTCTGACCTGTCAAAAGGGGATCATGCTTCAGATCAAAGAAAACCTGACGCAGAACCCCTTGCCTTGGGACACATTTCCAACCGTGACATGTGATTTGAAGGAGGTGTGTCAGGAGACACTGCTGCTCATAGATTTAGGTGCGTGGACTATGCAACAGGGTGGGGTGGCTGCATGACGTACTGGGTCTTCTGCCCTGGATTCTGTCCCCTGAACTTGCTGCCTGATTCCCACCATGCCTGGAGTTCTACACCTCAGTCTTCCCCTTTCTGACCTTGGTTTCCCCTACACCTCAGTTTCTGACCTTGGTTTCCCCTTCTGAAAAATGGGGCTAGATGCTGGCAGTAATAGTACTGATTGTGCTGGGGTGCTGGGTGGATATATTCGAGGACCCTTGCAAAGATCTGAGAACAGAGCTGGTGTACAGTGACATCGGTGACTTTGTCTGAACCTTATTGAGCACCTGTTGTGTGCCAGCCTCTATAGATGCCATTGGGTGTCTTCCTGCCTCTTTTTCCGTGAGTGAGGAAGCAGAAAATCCAGCAGGGACAGGAGAAAAGAGAGAGTGAGATGGCGGTTGCAATTTGAAAAATGGGAGGTTCCACTTGAGAGGGTGACATTTGAGCAAGAACTGAGAAGTGACAGAGCTGATGGAAGGACTCAGACTCAGGCTCCCTCTTCATCCCACCTGCAACGACCTCTGATCTTGGACTCAGGCATCCTACTTTCACCCTCTGTCTGCTAAGCATCCAGAAAACGCTAGCTCCAGTCTCCCTTGGGAACTCGCCACCCAGCCCAGCTGTCACTCCCTTCCCCCGCAGGACCTAAATCACTCATGGTGGGGAGCAAAGGCTGCAGCAAGACAGAGACACAGAATTCCACCACTATCTCCATCCACTCAGAGCCCCCTGGAGTGCTCGTCGCCTCCTATGCCCATTTCTGTTCCTCCGATGGGTGCAACAGGGCCACAAGTAGCAGTGTCCTGCTGAACTCCCTCCCTCGTCCAGGTATGGGAGCCCAGGGGGATAGGGGAGGCCATGGAGAGATGGGGCCCCAGGGATATGGAGACTCTGGGCTCTAGGAGGGTGACTGCAACTGGGAGCAGAACTGTGCACCCTAACCTTCAATTTTCTCCCCAGCTGCCCCTGTCCCAGGAGGCCTGCAGTGTCCTGCCTGTGTGCAATTCGGTGTATCCTGTTCAAACTCTGTAAACATCATGTGCCCTCCTGGTACCACTCATTGTTATAACGGCTACCTCAATCTCAAAGGAGGTGAGTGCTGAAGGCCAGGTCCCAGGATGAAAGGGTTAGGAGTTTGGATTCACTGGTGCTGCGGTGGGAAGGTGCTTGAGGCCCTGGCTCATGGGCTTGAGTAGGGAAAGAGCTGGAGACTCATATTTCTAGATCTGAGGGTGGCGAGGCCTAAGAGCCTGATCTCCTGGTCTGAGGGGTTAATGGTAGGGTCTGAGATTCTGGATCACAGGAATTTAAGTGTGTATTACTTTGAGACCCCTCTGAGTCAATCTTTACTCTCTAGGTGGGCTGTCCTCTATATTTAGCATTCAGGGCTGCATGGTTCAACCTTCCAGCTCCTTGTTGAACCACACCAAAAATATTGGGCAGTTCATCGCAAGTGAGGGTCCTGAGAATGAAGAAAAGGAAGATAAGATTCGCCAAAGTGGGGCTGTTCCTGTTTGCTGCCTGGCTTGGGTGGTGGGGCTGGGGATATCCCTAGCCCTTTGGTGTGGGATAACCTCCCACTGACTCCATTTACCCATGATTTTTCTCCCCTGCTGACCCCCTAAATACAGCCCTCCCTCTGACCTCATAACCAAACACTGAGTTGTTTTCCCATCTTCTCTGTGAATTCTCATCCACACACACACACACTTTGTGATCTGATAACAAGATATGGAAGAGCCTGGGAGCAGCTGCATTGTTCTTACAGCCACATGTATCTAATAAATAAAGAAATCATCTTTTTTCCCAGTGCTGGGGTTTCTCTATGGGGGGGGGGGAGAGCAGCACACCCAGCCATCTGGCATGGGGGAGGAGAGTAACCCTGTGAGTGATTCACCGTCCCAGGCCTGTCCTTTTCTGGTCTGGTGAACATTTCTGCTCCAGCTTGGGTAGTAGTAGAGCCTTCAGGGTATTTGGGCATCTCTGTGACCTGGGAGGTAAATGTGCACTTTGACTAATGAAGCACCTACTTAGGAGTCAGGTTCCCTACACAAACAGGGGCTTCATCCCACTCAAATCACTTGACATACGGTTTTGTGTGAAGTGGAGAAACAAGAGATCGTGCACAGTTTCCTGAGGCTGGCATCACAGGGTCTGCTACCATTCTAGGAAGACTGAGGAGAAGTTATTACCATTACTAGAATCCTGAGAGAGGGGGCGGGAGGTTTAGAGAGGGCTGCCTGGCAAGAGCTCAGATCTCACTGACACCAAGGTTTCTAGCCTGAGGCAACACAAGGGCTGGCTCAGGATGGGAAGTGAGCTTGTACAGGACTCCAAGGTCTCTGGAGGAGACTACAGAGGCCTGAGACCCTACCTCTGCCCTAAAGGGCCTCCAGGACGAGGAGGGGAGACATTACTGATGCAGATGGTCACAGGGCTGCAGTTTAAGAAGTCTGAGGGAGGTCTGAGGGAGAAGATACTAATGTCCTGCAGGTGGGTGTCAAGGGGGGCTTCACAGAGGAGGTGACCTTAAAGACTAGCTGCAGTCTATTAGTAGAAGAGGAAAAGGACATAAATAGGCTGAGGTCGGGATCTGGCAGTATTGTGCAGCTTAAGGCAACAGGATATCCTAATGGGTGCAACACAGGGTGTAAGAAATGGAGAATTGTTAAGAATGACAGCAATGTTCTCAACTTGAGCAATTACAAGACAGGAGCTACTATTGACCAATACACGAAAGGTGGTGGGGCCAGGCTGGAAGGAGGGCAGCAGGAGCCATGATACTATGGTCTGTGAAGTGGAAAAATGAGCGGTCCTGATCCTGTGGCTGTTTTAAAGGTTACCAATGTAGGTGGATGCTATATTGCCAGCCCAGGAGTTTCGGAATCATGGGACACATCCCTGCTGGTGATGTGATGGCCTTAAGTGAAGGCTCCTGGTTTTCAGAGTGGATTCCTGAGGGCCCCAGAGGGCAAGGTACCTGAGAATAGTCAACAATCACTGTCTTCCCCGTCACTCAACTCAAGGAGCCCTGCTCTGCTAATTGCTAGCAGTAAGCACTGGGAAAGCTGCTTCACAATTCTTCTGCTTCTGTTTTCCATCTTGAAAATAAGGAGGAGGAGGAGGACAGCACCACCTACTTTGGGTATCATTGTGATAAAATGAGGTAACCCAGATGAGGGAGCTCCTTGGGAAACTTAAACGGGCTAATCCATAGAAAGCAATCACAACAAGCAGGCATATAGTAAATGCTCAGTACTCACTAGGCACTGCAATAATTCTGTTTGGAACATGGGGTTTCTCAGTAAAAAGAATATAAGGTGTCAGTCTACACTCCTCATTATCCTAGACTGGAAGCCATGAGGACAGGGCCTGGATGTCACTGACACCAAGGTTTCTAGCCTGGGGCAACACAAGGGCTGGCTCAGCACGTGAAGTGAGTTTGTGCAGGATTCCAAGGTGTCTAATGAAGATGCTAGAGGACTCAGACTCATCCGTCTCTCTCACACCCCAAGCAAGGAGCAGCCTTAAAGGGGTGTTGAGAAAGGTCCCTGCAGATGTTGGAGCAGAAGTGGTGATATGAAGAATAGGGGAGGGTCTCAGACTTCAAAGATCCCTTGTAAGCCTGAGATCAAGGGACTGTGTCCAGGCTACATGTCTGTCCCCAAGCACTGGACCAGGAGGGACAGACATGGCTTGTTCCCAGGCTTACACAGACCCTGATTTATTCTCCCCAGCTCCTCTGACCTGTCAAAAGGGGATCATGCTTCAGATCAAAGAAAACCTGACGCAGAACCCCTTGCCTTGGGACACATTTCCAACCGTGACATGTGATTTGAAGGAGGTGTGTCAGGAGACACTGCTGCTCATAGATGTAGGTGCGTGGACTATGCAACAGGGTGGGGTGGCTGCATGACGTACTGGGTCTTCTGCCCTGGATTCTGTCCCCTGAACTTGCTGCCTGATTCCCACCATGCCTGGAGTTCTACACCTCAGTCTTCCCCTTTCTGACCTTGGTTTCCCCTTCTGAAAAATGGGGCTAGATGCTGGCAGTAATAGTACTGATTGTGCTGGGTAGTCATGAGGATATATTCGAGGACCCTTGCAAAGATCTGAGAACAGAGCTGGTGTACAGTGACATCGGTGACTTTGTCTGAACCTTATTGAGCACCTGTTGTGTGCCAGCCTCTATAGATGCCATTGGGTGTCTTCCTGCCTCTTTTTCCGTGAGTGAGGAAGCAGAAAATCCAGCGGGGACAGGAGAAAAGAGAGAGTGAGATGGCGGTTGCAATTTGAAAAATGGGAGGTTCCACTTGAGAGGGTGACATTTGAGCAAGAACTGAGAAGTGACAGAGCTGATGGAAGGACTCAGACTCAGGCTCCCTCTTCATCCCACCTGCAACGACCTCTGATCTTGGACTCAGGCATCCTACTTTCACCCTCTGTCTGCTAAGCATCCAGAAAACGCTAGCTCCAGTCTCCCTTGGGAACTCGCCACCCAGCCCAGCTGTCACTCCCTTCCCCCGCAGGACCTAAATCACTCATGGTGGGGAGCAAAGGCTGCAGCAAGACAGAGACACAGAATTCCACCACTATCTCCATCCACTCAGAGCCCCCTGGAGTGCTCGTCGCCTCCTATGCCCATTTCTGTTCCTCCGATGGGTGCAACAGGGCCACAAGTAGCAGTGTCCTGCTGAACTCCCTCCCTCGTCCAGGTATGGGAGCCCAGGGGGATAGGGGAGGCCATGGAGAGATGGGGCCCCAGGGATATGGAGACTCTGGGCTCTAGGAGGGTGACTGCAACTGGGAGCAGAACTGTGCACCCTAACCTTCAATTTTCTCCCCAGCTGCCCCTGTCCCAGGAGGCCTGCAGTGTCCTGCCTGTGTGCAATTCGGTGTATCCTGTTCAAACTCTGTAAACATCATGTGCCCTCCTGGTACCACTCATTGTTATAACGGCTACCTCAATCTCAAAGGAGGTGAGTGCTGAAGGCCAGGTCCCAGGATGAAAGGGTTAGGAGTTTGGATTCACTGGTGCTGCGGTGGGAAGGTGCTTGAGGCCCTGGCTCATGGGCTTGAGTAGGGAAAGAGCTGGAGACTCATATTTCTAGATCTGAGGGTGGCGAGGCCTAAGAGCCTGATCTCCTGGTCTGAGGGGTTAATGGTAGGGTCTGAGATTCTGGATCACAGGAATTTAAGTGTGTATTACTTTGAGACCCCTCTGAGTCAATCTTTACTCTCTAGGTGGGCTGTCCTCTATATTTAGCATTCAGGGCTGCATGGTTCAACCTTCCAGCTCCTTGTTGAACCACACCAAAAATATTGGGCAGTTCATCGCAAGTGAGGGTCCTGAGAATGAAGAAAAGGAAGATAAGATTCGCCAAAGTGGGGCTGTTCCTGTTTGCTGCCTGGCTTGGGTGGTGGGGCTGGGGATATCCCTAGCCCTTTGGTGTGGGATAACCTCCCACTGACTCCATTTACCCATGATTTTTCTCCCCTGCTGACTCCCTAAATACTGCCCTCCCTCTGACCTCATAACCAAACACTGAATTGTTTTCCCATCTTCTCTGTGAATTCTCATCCACACACACACACACTTTGTGATCTGATAACAAGATATGGAAGAGCCTGGGAGCAGCTGCATTGTTCTTACAGCCACATGTATCTAATAAATAAAGAAATCATCTTTTTTCCCAGTGCTGGGGTTTCTCTATGGGAGGGGAGGGCAGCACATCCAGCCATCTGGCATGGGGGAGGGGAGGAATCCTGTGAGTGATTCACCATCCCAAACCTGTCCTTCTCTGGTCTGGTGAACATCTCTGTTCTAGCTTGGGTAGTAGCAGAGCCTTCAGGGTATTTGGGCATCCCTGTGACCGGGGAGGTGAAGGCACACTTTGACCAATGAAGCGTCTACTTAGGAGTCAGGTTCCCTGCACAAACAGTGGCTTCATCCCACTCAAATCACTTGACATACGATTTTGTGTGAAGTAGAGAAACAAGAGATCATGCACAGTTTCCTGAGGCTGGCACGGGGTCTGCTACCATTCTAGACCTGAAAGACTGAGGAGAAGTTATTACCATTACTAGAATCCTGAGAGAGGGGGCAGGATGTTTAGAGAGGGCTGCCTGGCAAGAGCTCAGATCTCAGACCAAGTAATCAGTCCAGCCAACAGCAACATTACAGGGAAGGAGCTGGGGAATTGAAGGCCCAACCTCACTCAGTATCCTCCCTCTGGCCTCCTGTCAGGACTCCCCATTGACTGCACCCAGCTGTAAAGCAGGAGATCCCACCGACACAGTCCCCATAGATCTGCCCCCAACAGTGCAGAACAGGGGAAGAAGGGGAAAGAGTGAGTCTGAAAAAGGAAACAGTGTCCAGAACAGTCCACCCTTCTTCTCTTCACATCTACCCCTTCCTTTGTCCAGGTGGAAATCAGAGTCTTCAGAGAGGATCATAGGCCTAGAGAAAATTAAACTGGCAATAAATAAATACCTATCAATAATAACCTTAAGTGTAAATAGATTAAATGTTCAATCAAAAGACATTGGGTGACTGAATGGATAAGAAAATATGCTGTCTTCAAGAGACCCACCTCAGAACAAAAGATACACATTAATTGAAAGTGAAAGGATGGAAAGAAATATTCCACGCAAATAGAAAAAAAAAAGCTGGGGTAGCAATACTCATATCAGACAAAATAGACTTCAAAATAAAGGCCATAACAAGAGACAAAGAAGGCCACTACATAATACTAAAGGGAATGATCAACAAGAAAATATAACCCTTGTAAACATATATGCAACCAATACAGGAATACCCAAATATATTTTTTAAAAGAAAAAAAACCTCTTGATGGGCTTTAAGGGACAGATTGACAGCAATACAGTCATAGTAGAAAACACAAATGAAAATTAACATACAACCAACCAAAACCTATGGAACACAGTGAAAGCAGTCCTGAAAGGGAAGTCCATAGTATTACAGGCCTACCTCAAAAAACAAGAAAGAGCACTAATAAACTAACCGTACAACTAAACTAATTGGAAAGAGAACAGCAAGAAAATAACAGAGAAGTAGAAGGAAGGAAATAATAAAGAACAGAGCAGAAATAAAGAACATAGAGACAAAACAAACAAACAAAAAAAACACACCAATAGTACAAAAGATTAATGAATCCAATTCGAAAAGATAAACAAAATTGATGAACCCTTAGCCAGATTCATCAAGAACTAACAGAGAGGACCCAAATACATAAAATCAGAAATGAAAGAGGCAATATAACAATGGACACCACAGAAATACAAAGGATAATAAGCAAATACTTTGAACTATATGCCAACAAACTGGAAAACCTGGGCGAAATGGACAATCTTCCAAAACTCAATCAGGAAGAATAAAAAAACCTGAAAAGGCCAATAACAACTGATACAATTGAAACAGTAATTTAAAAATTCCCAGCAAACCAAAGTCCTGGACCAATGGATTTATAGGATAATTTTACCAAACATTCAAAGAAGAACTATCACCTATCCTCCTCAAACTATTCCAAAAAATTCAAAAGGGAGGAGCACTTCCAAACTCTTTTTACAAAGCCAGCAATATCCTAATTCCAAAATCAGATAAAAACAAAGAAAGATAGAAAATTACAGGCCAATATCCCTGATGAACACAGATGCTAAAATCCTCAACAAAATATTAGCAAATCGGATACAACAATATATTTTTAAAAATCATACATCAAGTGGGTTTTATTCTAGAGATGCAGAACTAGTACAATATTCACAAATCAATAAATGTGATACATCACATAAACAAAATGAAAGATAAAAATCACATGATCAGGACCCCCACCGAGGTTAGGTTCCTATCCTCCCTCAGAGACTGGGACACGAAGACACCAGGAGAATTAAATTTCAAAGGGATGGGGCCAGGCCTGTGAGTGAATTATCGTGTGGTATCAGGGTCCTGCACCTCCGGAGGTACATGTGCCCATTTCTGAGGTTGGTGGTAAGGACAATATTTAGCACCCCTGGTTACGTTTTTCTGTGGTCGCTTGACATAAATTGATATTATCATCATCAGTGTTCAAAATTCAACACTCAGTGATGATTAACCCGGGGAATGGTCATTCCCCACAGCTCCCTGTCAGGTGCACAGTAGCCTCCCCCATAGTCCTCTCTCTTTCACATTTGACTTTTCCCTTCAGAGTGAGAATTCTGGAGCCACCTCAGGAAAACCTGTAGCAGGGATGTCACCACCACGGTACACCAAATCACCTGTGAAACTTTATAAAGATTGTGATGCCCAGGTGACATTTTAGAAAGGCTGCTCAGCTAAGGTGGATGCCCAACCAGAATGAGATCCCATGATGCGGGGTAGGATGCCTGTGCCCCTTTCCTGTGCACAGGGAGGGTCTCCACATCCTGTTAAAATGCAGATTCTGACTCAGCAGGTGTGCGATGGACCAGGGACTCTACATCTGACAAGCTCTCAGGGGAGGTGGATCTTACTGGCCTGTGGAGCCCACATGCCGTAGCAAGGCCTCTGCTGTGACCTGGCCTTGGGTCTGTCAGCCCCACGCAGAGAGCCCCACGGGCCCCAAACCTGGGGATTATTTCTGCTTGTGACACAGAAACCCAGCTGGGCACCGGGTCTGCCCCGTGTTCTCAAATGTGCTGGGAAGGTTGGATTTCCTCCCAGCAGGAAGGCCACAGAGGCGACTGGGGGTGAGAAGGGGTCAAGCTGGGTCATGACTGCAGAGGGGACCCTCCCTCTATCTCAGGTGGTCACTAGCCTGACTTTTGCTTCCAGGGACAGAGACCCAAGACCTGCGGTTCCCAGGTGTGAAGAGGAAGGTGTCTTGTGTGTCTGGGAAGAGAGGACTGTGGTGGGAGGTCAGGTGGCTGTGGGCTCCCTGGTCCTCAGGGAATGGCTTCTGGGAGACCTCCCCTCTCCATGTCTATTAGCTGAGCCTGTCCATGTGCTCCCTGACTATTAGGGCAGCCTCTGTCCTCTGCCTGGGGGACTTTCCTGGGGTCACCCTGCTTTGCTCATGGGTGGTGCCAGGCATGGGGTGGGGAGCAACACAAAAACCCTAAGACAACATGTGCTCCTAGACCAGGAGTGGGGATTGTCTGCCAAGGATCATTTGGATGTTTATATCATCATTCACAGGCCACACAGAGTTATCAACTTAAAAATTAACCTGCTGTATTTGGTCAAATCGTTAATTAACTCACCCCTAATGCCTTGGCAGGACCAGACCAAATGATTTCATGGGTCTCATATGGCCTGTGAGCCATACGTGCCCCACTCCTGTTCTAGACCCTGTCAAAGTAAGAAATGACCAAAGCTGTGGACGATTTTTATGAGTTTATCTGAGCCAAACTGAAAACATATGCCTGGAAACAATGTCTCAAATCCTGCAAAGAACAGCAGTTTTGAAGCTTATTTTGTACATTATACTCAAAGGAAAAGATGAAAAAAAGTGTCTTAAAATCCATTAGGAGGTGAGAAAAAGTATAGCAAGGAAATCTCTGGGGATGGATAAAAAGGCAGAATGAAGAAACACTTTTTTTACGTGAGCGGATCAGGACAATTAACATTATAGCATGTAGAGAGGGAATGCAGGGAACCCGGAACACGAGGGCTCTGAGGTCTTCTACTCTGATGCCAGAGGCTCCGCCTTCAATTGGTCTAGCAAAGAAAATTACTCTGACAGGTGAAAGGTATGTTATCTATCATGCTTTAAAACAGGGAACGGGCCTCAATTAAGACAAAATCTGATCTTTGCTAAGGAAGCTGTAGGCCTGGGACATGACTACCTGCCATCACCTGCCCAGTTGGGCATTTGTGACCAGATCATTCTGTGTGGTTACTTCTGGCCAATGAGCTTATTAGGCCTGAACATGGACCCTGAGCTTGTCTGGTTTACTGCGCAGCTTCATTTTTTTGTTAACAATCCCTAGAAATGGCAGGTGGGACACAGCAGACATCGGAGAGAAGCCCAGAGGGCCTGTTAGACCAGGGGATAGAAATCAGTCTCCTTCTCCACCTCCTTAGCCACAGCCAGGTGCATGTGTGAATTCCCTGTTATCTGAGTGTCTCAATGTCACCCCCTGGAAGTCGGAAGGAGATCTGCAGCCAATGTCAGGTGCTGCACCAGTGATGCTGACCAGGCACCAAGGGGTGGGAGCTGACACTGAGCCCTGGACAGAGGTGGGCTCTGACCTGCAGGTTGAGAGACAAGTTAGGACCCAATCACTACGGGTTCCAGGCCTCCTGACTCGATCCCAGGACAGGGTGAGCCCAGTGAGAGATAGGCATTGTTCCAGAGTATTATGAGTTGAATGTCAGGAGAACTGTCCTCCCAGGAGGATGTGCTGAGGCAGGAGGAGCTTTCTGCCTCCAAGGTTTCACAGAAAGGTCTTGATTAGGGCTCTCCTGAGGCTTTTGGGAGAGGGTGCCGACCTAGGGAGCTGGTCCCCAGAAAGCTGTGTGTGTTTCCCATCACAGCTTTGAGATGCTGCATCCAAGTCATCTGTGTCCTTGTCAGTCATCTGCTCTAGGCCTCCCCAAGGGGCCCAGGATCTGGAGCAGCTCCACATGGAGACTAAACCAGGGCATCTTGTGAGTTCCTCTGTTAGGGGAGGGGAGGCCCCTTGGGACACTCAGCCCCTCTGAAATGAAAGCAA